TCCACAAAGCATGTTTCAGAGATTCAGAGAAAGGAATCAAAACTGTGATTCTCAAGAGAATAGAGTTCAAGAGGTTTTAAAACTGAAGTCCTGACAATGAAGTCACAAATTATCCTGAGTGTTAAAAAAAAAAAAAAAAAGAAAGAAAAGAGGGCAGCATCTAAAAATAAAGGTGCCTGCACAGGGGAGCTCTCCAGTGCATGCAAATTTTAGAAGTTCTTGTGTTCTCGAAAAACTACTGACATACGTTTAAAGTATATGAATTTGATTATAGCTGAGCAGGGTGGTTAAAACTGAGCCCCTGGAATCCGTTTGAATCCCAACTCTGCCACCTACTAGCTCTGTGACCTTGGATAAGTCATTTGACCTTTTTGAGCTCTGATGTCTAAATCTGTAAAATGGGGAAGTGGTATCCCGTCTATAAGGGAATGAAATGAAATGGGGCACGTGGGTGCCAAGCAGAGGGGCTGGCACATAGGAAATGCTCAGTAGGCCCCTACTAGCATTCTGTTAAAAATACAGGAGATGCTCTTAATCAGAGGGCAACCGCAAAAGGGTCACGCCAAAGGGCTGCAATTGTATGAGGAGGTGAAAGACAGGTTCATGTGACACTCGGGGAAACCTCTGCGGAACACACCAGGGTTCCCCTGGGAAAATCATCAAGAAGGAAGGCAGATGTTGGGCCTGGAACAGCCAACGCATTGTCAGCGGCCAACAGAGGAAGGACAGGGCGGGGACTCCTGCTGTCCCTGCAGGCTCTCCCTCAGAGGGACGTGCTTGGTGACAAACACGGGATGCAACTGAAGGCCAGCCAAGGTCATTTCTCACTCCCTTGAATGAGTCCCACTCGCTGTTGCGGAGCAGGACACTGATAGAACCTGCAAACGTGATGGTAGGAGCTACCTTGAAGAATCACCGGGAAGGCCGAGCGGTCAGGAGTCTGCAAAAGAGCCAGCATGGCTTTGATTTTAAACATGGGGAGGAGGAGAGATTTAGAAGATACAGAGGTGCACTTAGTGCCCATGCCTGGCAGAGTTCTAGAAGTGGTGACTACATGGAGAGAATTATTGGAGAGGCCCACCCGGCCCACCTGCTTCTGCCCTCTGCCACCGCACACCCCATGCTCTTCTCAGTGTAGCAGCCAGAGGGATCCCCTCAAGTCCGAGCATGCCACGTCTGCCCGGGAGCCTGCCGTGGCTCCCTTCTACCTGGAGGAAGAGCCCAAGCCCTTCCAGTGGCCCAACCCCCACCTGACACCCCAACCCCCCCACTACTTGTCTGAGCTCAAGTCTCACAGTTGCCCTTCCCTTTCCTCTCTTGCTGTGGCCGCACTAACCTTGCTCTTGGCCTTCACCCTTGCTGTTCTCGCTGCCTGGGTTACTCTTCCCCCAGACAACTGCTTGGTTCCCTCCCCCAAGGCTTTGCTCAAATGTCAGCTTCTCCATGAGGCCTTCCCGGAGCACCCCATGCGAGGCCCCACCCTCCTGCCCATCTTCTTCCCTGACTTAGGTTTTTCTCCATAGTCCTCATTACCATCCTATATACCACAGATTCTTACTGTGTGTCCTGTCCATCAACTTTCTCCACGCATGAAAATGCAAGGTCCACGGGCTCAGAGATTTGTACCTGCATCCCCGTTTGCTACCACTGTGCCACCCACATGGTTATGTTCAATAACTATTTGTTGCCTGGGAGGGAGGGACAGGAAGGAAAGGAGGGAGGGAGGGAGGGAGGGAAGGAAGGAAGGAAGGAAGGAAGGAAGGAAGGAAGGAAGGAAGGAAGGAAGGAAGGAAGGAAGGGGGCACAGTTAGAAAGAGGCTGCTAGACTAGAGTGACCAACCACCCCAGTTTGTCCAGGACTGGGAGAGTTTCTGAAACAAAGGATTTTCAGTGCTGAGACCAGTAAAATTCTAACTGGTCACCTACACTCACTTAGCCAACTGCATTTACTTCTCTGATGTGGGGACTAGGCTGCTAGCTCCCAGAAATGTCTCCAGCTCACTATCTCCGCATTTCACACAGCCTTCCACAAAGTCTATCTGTGGGAGGATGCAGAAATGTGGGCTGCAAGATAGTGTGTTTGAGCAGCGGGCAGTTGGCTGAGTGACCACACGAGACATGTTGATTGATGGAGCCAGTCAGGATGGTGGGAAGGCTGCGCGGTGAGCCACGGAACTGTGTCCCAGCTCCACAGTCCGAGCTGTGGATGAGCACGTGGAAAGCAGGGGAATCTTGAAGTGGCACGTACTAGGGAGAGAAAGCTAATATGCTCAACAATTGGGCCCGGTTTTGAAATCGTCTCGATCGATGGAAATGACAGACCCTATGTAACAACTTAAAATGTAAAGGGAAATAAATATTGCTTTCTATTTAGGGCTAAAAAAAGAAAGCCATCTTAAATGTACAGAAGAGACCAGGCTTAATAGCTGTTTTGTTTTGTGTTAGTTGCCCACACGCTCGGTCCAGTGTGAAAGCAGAGACTCTCCCCCCAGAGACGGTGTCTAAACCGTCTAAACAGACCTCGAGGGGTGTGGTGGCGCTGTCCTCCCGCTGGGCCCCACACACCTGAGCCAAGTACCCGGCTCGGTACCAGGGGAGAGGCTGCTCGCTCTCATTTGCTGGCTTTCTAGCTCTTCTAGGACACAGCACCCGCAAAGTGCCTCTTCCCCCTTCCCCCAGCTGGCTGTGGCCTTGAGGTGGTATCTCTGCGACAGAGAAGAGACCCCTCCCTCCCTCCTCTTCCACCTAAGTTCTCTGGGACAGCCAGTGTTTAGGACTGGGGATTCAGCTGAGAGAGAGGTTCATCTAACTACAACTGTTTCTCCCCCCAAGAAGGAGGGATTCATTGTCAAGGGCACAAGCAGTGTAAGCCCCATGGCAGCCGGGAGGCAGCAGTGCGCTGAGTCCCAGGAGCCAGGGCCGCACCCCCTTTCCCAGGGGTCTCAGAACAGGTGTTCTGAGCTAGCAGGTCGAAGGCCCTGGGCCCCCAGCTGGGCAGGTGGCCACTCTTTGGGTTGCTAGGACCAGGCCCGGGGCTGGTCTTGGTGGCAGTGGAGGTGGCTGACGGGAGGGGGCTGCAGGGCTCCCCAGGCTTCCCGGGGCTCTGGGGGCTGATTTAGGGGAATGGCACCTTGATTCTTTGTGCCACATGGGCCGGTCAGGAAAGGCAGCCAGCGCCCATTGTCCTAGAGGAAAGGAGAGACATCGATTTCCGACTCCTGTCTTTCGTGCTCAGCACAGGCCTGCCCCACGTCTTCCCCACAGAGCTCTGGATCGGGGTATGGCGCCAACCCTCACCGATAGAGAACAAGCTAGATCCCACAGGCCAGTTCCAGTCAGTGGGCGGGGCTGCCCGGAGTAACTGACAGGATCCCAAAGCTCATCAGGAAGGAACACCGGGAAGATTAGGAACCTCCGCCCTGGATGCCCAAAGTGGAGGGGGAGCCCGTCTCTGCCTTTCCAGCCCCCTCCCCTAAAGAGCACGTGCCTGGCCCATGGGTAAAAGCCGGCATGAATGGGGCCTGCTGACCTCAGGGCAGAGGGTGGTCATTTCCTAATGGGGCCTGAGCAGCCCACGCGTGGAGGGTGAGGGGCGGACAGACAGTCTTCCAGCTGCTTTCCTGACTCTCCTGGGAACCTACACCGACGGGTACCCCTATCCATGCCGGGGCCTGCAGCGGAGGGAGTGAAACATTCTAGCCCCCACAGGCCAGACTCCGGGGTTCTCAGAGTGTGGTCCCCCGACCAACAGCAGCAGTGTCACCTGAACACTTCCTAGAAATCCACATTCCCAGGTCCTCCCAGATAGAGCCCAAACTGGTGGTGGGCCCAGCCACCTGTGTTCCGCAAGCCCTCAGGTGGTTGTGAGGCAGGCCAATGTGGGCGCCCCCTGCCTGACAGAAAGAAGGCCTCTAGACTGGCTGCCACCGAAGGGCTGCAGAGGGGAGCCCTGCCCGCAGGCTTGGGGCGATTGTCCTCTTTCTAGGTTCCGTGGGGCCGATGCTCCGTCTCCACCTGTGCGTGCGTTTACCGTCTCCGTGGTGCAGCGGCTTGGAGCCAACTCGCAACAAGGCTGCCCTCTGTGTCTGGAGCGCAGGGGTGCTCAGCCTCATGTGTTGCTTCTTCGGTCTCAGGAGACCCGTGGCTTTCCTAGCCCCTTCCAGAAACAAGAGCTGTGGCCCAGTGGCCTCTGCTCTGGAGCTGTGGCCCCCTTGACCGGCCAGAGCAGCCCCCCTCTTCCCCCCCGCTCAGCCCCGGGGTCTATGGCCTTTCGGACAGATGCTCCTCTTCACATTTGGTCCTAAGAAGTCAATCTGTCTTAGCAAACCAGGCTCATTGCAAATGATACCGAAATGGACCGGAAAGATCAATGCAGCAATTTCTTTCTCCCACAGCCCTCCCCTCCCCAGATCCTCTATCACCCCACACCCCCTCCTGCCCCAGTGAGCCAAACTTCTTGCTGTCTTGATGATTTGCAATTCTCTGCATGACTCTGCCTCTTGGGTTTGTTTAATTAGAAATAGGCTGGGAAGTGCTTCCCAGGCACTGGCATGTTAATTGCTTATCAGGGAAAGAGAAGGGGTGACAATGTTTGGTGATGGAAATTTCCACTCTCTCCATCTCTCGGAGCTTTTCTCCGTTTTCTTCTCCCACTTTCTCCTCCCTTTCCTGTCAGCTTCTCCTGCTCTCTGCCCTTCTGCCCCCAGCTCTCCCGTTCACAGTTACAGGGGCTCTGGGGAGCAGGCCTGGATTCACCCCTCCAGGGCACACCTGTGCCCTCTGTCACCATCTCCCTCTCCCCTCCTCTCCCAGCCCCTCCCCCGCCGGCCCGTGGGGCTCGCAGAGATTCCGGAGCAGAGGGCTGTACAGGTACACTTAGTAGTCAAAGATGAGCTTCCTTTTGTTTCCTTTCCCCCCTTATTATTGTTGTTCTTGTTTATTTTTATTTTTTACAAAACAGGAGAAAAGAGTGAACTGGGTTGGGGGGAGGTGACACATTTCTCCACAAAGGTACAAAATTGCCTATAGAAAGTCAACCTCGCGGTGCCAACCCGGGCTTGCTGAGATGAGGCGTTCCCGGGCATCCCCCTCCCCAAATGTCCTTCAGGTCCGGCCGGGGACCCACTGTGGGAGTGGTCCCCCAAGGTGGGGAGGAGAGGCTTCCCTCAGCCCTTGCCCAGGAGGGGAAAGAGCAAGCAACTGAGACTGTACAGAGGAAGAGAAGAGGAGAGGGGCGCACCCTGTGGGCCAAGGGCCTGGGGACATGGGCAGGGGACATCCAAGCAGAGGCCCAGGAGCCTCTGGGCACACAGACAACTAGGGAGAGGGGAGGCTCTAGCCAGAGTCCTTCCTGTTCCTCGGAGATGCTCCTCAGAATGTCAGCAGACAGGCCCCCAGAAGGTAACGGCGACTTCGTGGAGGCGGCGGGAGCCGCCCCTGGCGCTACAAAGCCCCGTCTGTCTTGGTCTGGCTGCCAGGCCTCAAGCACGCGGGTCCCTGTCACTTTCCGGGCAGGGCATCTGGCCCAGACTGCCTCCCTTTCGGTCAAAAGGAGTCCTAGTTATTTGTCTACTGCGGAGAGCAGGCTGAGCTTTGAGAATTTTGCAGCAATGGTGGGGACAATGTTTCTGCTTCTGAAGACCTGGACAGCTTCCTTCCTGGATTCCAGGCCAGGACGAGGGGCGCGGACACCACTCGGACCGCGGGGGCACTGCAGCCCCAGAAAGCCCAGGCTGGAAGGAGAGGCCGCCCACCCACGCCCTGCCTGGGCTGAGCAGTGCCCCGGTGGGTGGCTAGCCCGGCTGCCAGTAAGAGGACAGCGAGGGCCAGCATGGCTATGAGCCCGGGCCGGTCCCCTAAGGCTCTGTGGCAAGGAGTGGCCTCCTTAGTCCTGGTCCATACGCATGCCAACTGGGTGTGGGCATCAGCAAAGGCCACTTGCAGGCAGGCCCAGTACTCCGTGGCCTGAAGGAGGCGGGTGATGTTGTAGCTGTGGGTGCCCCTCGGCAGGCGGGCCAGAGCAGGGGCGCCCTGGCCCCGGAGGGAAGAGGCGCTGGACCAGGTGAGGTTGGTAGAGACTGTGTTGGGTGGGGGGACCCAAGACAGCAGGATGTGATAAGGGTGGGTCTCCTGCACCCGGAGCTCCAGCCCCCGTCCCTTGTCCCAGCCTGGCTGCAGGGGAGCCCGGCCAACCACCACACTGACCGTCTTACTGTCAGCCCCCACCAGGTTCTGGGCCACACAGGTGTACAGCCCCGCCTCTTCCGCTGTCACCCTCCGCAGCTCGAGGGTCCCCTCGGGGTACACCCGGTACTTCCTGCCAGCACGGGCAGCTGTTAGTCGAATCCCGGCTGGAGTGACCCAGTAGATCTCGGGTTCCGGTTCAGCCAGTGCCCGGCAGTGTAGCACCAGGCTCTCTCCACTGGCCACCTGAAGGCTGGGGGGGAAGCTGCGGGGGGAGATGAGGGGCAGGCAGTGGTCTGTCATCTCCCGGAAGGGTACCTCGCGGACTGGGCGGCGCTGGAGGTCTGGCGGCTCGGCACACAGGGTGGACTGTGGCTCGATGAAGCGGACACGGGTGCCCGTGGCATTGGCCCAGCGGATGATGCAATCACAGCGGATGGGGTTGCCGTGGAGACCCACCTCCTGCAGGTTGGGCAGGGACTCCACCGTCTGCTGGTGCAAGGCACTGAGAGCATTGTTGTTGAGCATGAGGGTCTCCATCTGGGGCAGGTGGTGGAAGGCGCGGGGGTGGATGAAGGACAGCCGGGGGTTGTTGGTGATGTCCAGCTTGGTCAGCTCAGGGAGGTTGACCAGGGCGAACTTGTCGATGGAAACCAGCTCCTCCATGTTGTTCAGCCCCAGCTCCTTGAGGTGCAGCATGTTGGCAAAGTCCCCGGGCCCCACCCGCTGGAGTGGGTTCTTGTTCAGGTCTAGGAACTTGAGCCCGGGCACCTGCTCCAGGGCCCGCCTGGGCACCCGGGCCAGCTGGTTGTCATAGAAGGAGAGGCTCTCCAGGCTTTGCAAGCCCTCCAGGGAGTAGTCGGAGATCTCCCGAAGGTTCATGCCTGCTAGCACCAGGCTGCGCAAATTGGCCAGAGGCCGGAAGTTCATGTCCAGGATGGCGTCTACTTTGTTGCCACCAATCATGAGGATCTCCAGGTTGGGCAGCATCTCAAACCAGCGGCTGTCGATGGCCCTCAGCAGGTTGGAGTTGAGGTGCAGCCGCAGCAGGTTGCCAAGGCCAGCGAAGGCCCCGGGGGCGATGCGGTAGAGCTGGTTGTGGTTGAGATAGAGTTCCTGCAGGCTGGTCAGCCCTGCGAAGCTGTGGTCCTCCAGCCGGGTCAGCTGGTTCTCCTCCAGGTGCAGGCTCAGCAGCTGGGGCAGGGCACGGAAGTCACAGTCTCGAGCGTCCGAAAAGCTGTTCTGGGACAGGTCCAGCTCCGTGAGATTGGCCAGGTAGTTGAGCTCACTTTGGTCCACACGGACAATGCTGTTGCTCTGCAGCAGCAAGGTCTGTGTGCCTGCGGGCAGCCCGGGGGGCACGGCTGTCAGGAACAGGTCGTTGCAGTCCACGGTGGTGGCCTCCCGGTAGGATGATCGGGGTGTATACCAGGGCCGGATCTGGCAGGCACACTGAGGGGGACAGGGCACACGCCAGGGTACCACGGGCACGGCGGCGGTGGCACCAGCCACCCAGGCCAGCAAGAGGGGGGCCACAAGGAGCCTCATGATGGAGCCACAGGGTAGGGAACCATCCACAAGAAGAGTCTGGAGTCCTTCCACTCTTAGCAGTTCGCAGGCTGAGGGTCAGCAGCCCTGCCAGGGCCTGGGGATCCACCCTCCCAGGAGAGTCATTCTACGTGGGGATGGGTGGGCATCGCTTCTTACCCTTCTGGGTATGGTTCTCCATCCTTGTCCGCTGGGGCTGGGCCGGCTCATTCATTACCACACCCCATCAGGGCAGCCCTGGAAGAAGAGGATGCAGAGTAAGGAGGTGGCAGAGAAGCAGAATCCATTCCCTCTGCCCGTGTCAACCCTGTTTGCAGAGGGCAAAGGAGCTGAGAGAGATGGTCTGGGCCACAGCCAGGGCTCCTGGGTTCTGTCCTACAGCCCTCAGGCTTTATTTTTTTTAAATTTATTTATTTGTCAGAGAGAGAGAGAGAGAGAGAGAGAGAAGAGAGAGAGAGAGAGAGGACAAGCAGGTGCAGCAGCAGGCAGAGGGAGCCCGATGAGGGGCTCGATCCCAGGCCCCTGGGATCATGACCTGAGCCGAAGGCAGACGCTTAACGACTGAGCCACCCAGGCGCCCCTAGGGGTCCCAGTCTTCAGCTTCAGTATCCTTTTCTATTATCTGCTGGGGGAGTGAGTCTTCATGGAAGGAGGGAAAGATTGAACCAAGCAGCTTCCAGGATAACTCAGGAAGGGGTGCGTGTGAGTGTGTGTCTGCAGAGGAGAGGGGATGCTGGAGTTCCTGTCATCTCCACAGTCCTTCTGAGCTGAGACATGTGGAATAGATTCTCCTTTCTCACATCTCCCCGCCTCCCTCCTTGGCTCACTGGGTAAATGGAAAATAAAGTGAGAGTTTCCCGGCATGCCCCTGAGCAGTGTGGGTAGGGGGTGGTGGAAACAGTACAGAGTTTTAAATTCCAGGGTGGGCTCTCAGGACTCTGGAAGTGGAAAGGCAGTGGTCCCCGAGCCCACAGCCAGACCGGCTGGGGAAGTGGCTGGTCCTGCCTGGGGTCTGCTTGGGCTCTCCTCATGTATGGCTTTGGTTTTCCCCACTCTTCCTGCCTAACAGCCTGGCTGAGCTCCCTGGAAGGAGGAGGTAGGGTTAAGAAGCCTGGGTCTGGGCTCTCCCACTTACCCACTGTGCACAGTACTCGTGAGCTGAAGTTACCCTGACACGCCCCCCTTACCATATCTCCTTCTCACTGTCTCCTAGACAAGGCCTACTTGTTCTTCGAGCCTCAACTCAAGGTCAGTCACCTCCTACAGAAGCTTCTCCCAAATCCTCCCCACCCCGGGCTGGCCTAAGGGGCCTGCCTTAAGCTCTTAGAGCGCCCCATGCTCCCCTCTGTCCTAACCCGGACCACATCTCATGGAAACGGCTCCCCAGCTGGGAACCTGTCTTGGTCATCACTGTGTTTGGAGCACACAGCAGGTGCCCAGTGAATATTTACTGTATGAATCAATCTCTGTGGCTCCAGGGCCCCATCCCCCCCCAGGAGGGTCCCCCCACCCCCAGTGTAGAATCGAAGCCACTGCTCTTTCCCACCTCCCAGGTATGGCAAAGACCCAGACAAATCCAGGCTCTCCCATATATCCCAAGGCCAGGCTGCATGATCCTGGAGGCAAGTCCAGCCTTGGCCTACAATCAACATGGGAGGAAAACCAGGGGGCCTTGCTGGGCCTGGTCCCCGCCTGAGCAGAGGTCCCATTCGGGTAGTCTTCCAAATGCGAGTATCAGAGAAGCACCCCAGCACTTACTGAGCACCTGAGATCTGCCTGGACTCTTCAAAGACTCTGAATATCTTATTTCATTTAACTGTTATAACGTCATAACGAGTCGACAAGATAAGCATAAATACCCCTAGTTTGCAGATAAGGTAATTGAGGTTTGTTAGAGGTTAAAGAACTTGGCTCAAGACACATAGCCGGTAAGCGGCGGGAGACGGGAATCCACCCAAGTCCAGAGGTTGGGCCACTTACACCATCCTTCCTTGTCCCCAGGCCTGGCTGTGGCTGCAGAAGTCTGGGTGCCCATTCTTGTCCCCTGGGGTGACGTCTGCTACCACCCTCTAGGCAGGGTCCTCTCAGCTGCCCAGAGGGGCTCTATGCCCATCTCACTCTGCTTCCCGGATGCTGGGGCTGGGGAGGGGAGCAGTCGGAGGCGGGATACCTTCCCTTGAGCAGGAGAGCGGTAGGCCTGTTTACATTTGACTACTTCCCACCTTCCTCTGCAGCTATTTCTGAAGGTGGGAAAACAACCGTGACTTAAAATGCACAGAGGTTTTGCGTGGGGGTTTGTGTGCCCTGACACGTACAACTCAGACCAAACAAACACACGTGTACACACGGACGCATGCCCGCATACGAGAGCAGAGGGGAGCCCAGGGAACTTGGCCCCCCAAGCCAGGGAGTGGCGGGCAGGAAGAGGGTGGGGGATTTTGTAGTCTACTGTGTGGATGGAGAGGCAGCAGGAACCAGCTGAGCCCCAGGATGGCCCTGTCATGGGGCTGGACCTAGGCTGGTGCTTACATACCAGAGGCCCCTGCCTCCTGCCTAGACCTGGCACGAGGGAGCGGAACCCACCTGCAAAGAGATCTTACTATTACTTACCCCTTCCCACCAGAGCACACTGGGAAAAGGTACTGACTTCTCAGAGCATCTGCTCCTTATGTCTAAAGTGAGGATGTCATTAGGATTAAGGGAGCTGAGTGTGGTACACAAAGAAAGAGCTCAATAAATGTGAGTTCTCGTCCAGCTCCGGTCATCCCCAGGGTTGGGAGACTCTGCAGTTACAGGACTTCTCAGGGGCAACAGATCCTGTTGCTCAAGAAGCCCCTACGGAGCTTGCCCACGTGGCCGCCAGGTGGCATGGGGAAACAATGAGCAGAGATAAATAAAACGTCACACCTTTATAGAGTGGCCCTCTGGCAGGACTGAAAAATGCAAAATAGATAAGAAGAGCCCAAGACAGTTCTGAAGGGCAACTGGGCCTAGTGGAGCATCCTCCTGGCTTTGGCTGCTGACCGAGCCACAGGTGTCTCTCCTCCAACATCTCTGTTCTGACATCTTTGTCCTATAGATGCTCAGCGGTGTGCAGGGGATGAAGGAACCACTTAAAACTTAATTAAAAACCTCCCGAGACTCGCCTTTTCATCTACCCCAGGCAGCACCCTCCTCCTTGCCCCGTCTGGCTGGGCAGGTGGGTGAGGCAGAGTGCCTGCTCCTCAGCCAGGAGCCCAAGGCTGGGGTTTGGCACCCAGAGAGAGGTAGGGGCTGGATGACACATTTGGCTGCACCCCTGATCCCAAGGCTTGGCAAAGACCCAGACAAGTCCTCCCCCTCACTGCTGAGCACGCAGCCCCCTCCAGGGAGGAGCACTGAGCTGCCCACTCACCTGCCAACATGGGTTCAGGCCGTCTTGCACATGCCCACTCATGCCCACTTATGCAGGCTGATTAGTGATCACTGCCGGGAGCTGCACAGAAAGCTAATTGTCTTTTTCTATAATCTCTGGGGAGAGCAGGAGTTCAGATGATTGCGTGGACATTTTCCCCAACTGGCTTTCAAGCTCCTTGAGGCTCCTTGGGCCATGTCTTACACGCTTTTTGTGCACCCAGAGCACGGAGTGCAGGGCTGGGCACGCAGAGGGTACTGGTAAAGGACACCAGCGGTGAAACAGATGACCCTCCCGTCAACCCCGTGTGTAGGCAGAGAAGGGATTAATTCAGTCTGGTCCTGCAGCGGAAGCACCTGAGCTTGGAGGGCTTATGTGACTTCTCAGAGGTTACACAGCTTCCATGTGGCGGGGTCAGAATTCGAACCTAGGTCTTGGACTCCAGAACCTGAGCCACCAGCCCAGCCAGGGCTTGCTGCCTGGTGGATCCAAGTCTGCCTTGAAGGAGCACAGCGCGGGGCCGACCTGGAGTGCCTGCGTAAGAGCTGGCCTGGGTCCTCAGCTCCTCTTCCCCCACAGCCACCTGATGGGCCCCCCCAGACACCCCTTCTTGATTTTGGGCTAGAGTGACACCACCTCCCCCCAACTTGGACAGCACAGGGAAGACACTGTCCCTGTGTGAGTGTGCCTGGCCCTGGCACCACAGGGACAAACAGCCAGCAGGCTGCACACGGACCTCAGCCTGCCTTCTGACTGGGGGCTGGGGGCTCTTGGCCAGCCTTGGCCTTCAGTGATGGGAGCCTGAAAGCCCTGGAGCCAAGTCAGGGAAGCAGGGCTGTCCACTCCAGGGGCAAAGTTTCTTTTGCAAGAGCTGGCTCTGCAAGCTACGTGGGACCCACCTCTTCCAGGCAGCTGCTCTGGATTTAGCATTAAGTGTAGAATGGTCCCTTACATTCCCTATTAAATTCGGACCCTTGGCAAAGCTCTGAAGTGTTTGGGAGAAGCGTTGTCAAAGGCGGCTCCTTCTCCCGCCCCGCCCCCCCCCCCCCCCCCCGCCCCCCCCCCCCCCGGCTAAGTCCCGCCCCTCCCCCAGCTGAGTCCCGCCCCGCCCCGCCCCCGGCTCAGTCCCAGCGCTCCTGCGGGTCGCGGCAGTGCGCTCCTCCAGGTGGTTTGGTGGATGCGGAGTCTCTCCCTCCCCTCCCTTCTCTCCCCTTCCAGGCAGTCTCCACCCAGCCTCCCAGAGCCAGAGCCAAGGGTCCAGAGGGAGGAGCGGTGGTGGTGATCGATGGCCTGGCCTTCGCCGCTTCAGCGCCAGGTCTCCGAGCTGCGGAGACAGATGGGCAGCATAACTGAGTGTAGCGTCGATAAACTCCGGCCTCCTCACCAGCAGATAAGCGGTGGGAGGGGCGCAGGGGGAGGGAGGCCAGCCCTCCATCTGCGCACCTGGCCTCCTGCTCTTCCTGGGAGGTGAGGGGGGCTCCTCACTCCCACCTCTCGCTGAATCACAGACAAGCAGGACCTCAGAGCCGAGAAGGACTGAGCGTTTATCTAGCCTTGCAGAGTCTGAGTTCCATAAATAACTTATGCAAAGAAGGAGCGGTGGAGC